CCCGCCGTGTGGGAATGAAGCTTTCATAAACTGCTGAACAGATTGCTGGAGCTCTGAGGGTAGATGAACGGAGGGTATCAGGAGAAGGAAGGATTGATGATTCTCGAGCCCGGTGATTAGGAAGCTTAAGGATACTCGTGGGTCGTAAGCTTCTGAGTTCGGAGGAATTGACTGTTGAAGAGTCGGGTGATGAGGAAGTGGACAGCATTGGTAACTAACGGGGTGAGTTGTTGGAGTAAAGCTCCGGAGACTGTGGCGGAGAGAAGTTAGCAGTAGTTCTACGGAGATAGGAACTGACCGGAATATCTCGAAGACGAGTCAAGGTACTGTTGTCGTGATTTTTGAAAGAGAATTACTGGCTCTTCGAACTGGTGAGGCTGAGGCCGAGTTTCAGGGTTGAAAGCCGCATTCTGGATGACCACGAGTGACAGAACCAAAGCTCTCCGTGCTATTGGACCATCCGCTGGGGAGTCTGAAGTCGGTCAATCGCGGCACTTTGTAGCTGTCGTCTTGTCGATTCTGAAGTCGAAGTTGCCCGGCGTCCTCATCGTTAACCACGAGCTTGAGGTTGAGGATTAGAAATCCGAGCTTTGTCGTAGTACAGTAAGTATTCGTCCCGAGTTTCTATTCTGTGACTCTTCAGATTTCCCTCTCTGTCCCTCTTTCACTGTTCAATCAGAAGTTCGAAAAGCTTCATCCCACCGTTACTACCTGTGCCCCGGTGTCTCATTCACTCGTATCTATCCGCCCCATGCATCAATGCAAACCCTATGTACCTCATCCTCCACCATTCGCACGGTCGCACAATCGAACAATCTGTGACTGGCCGATAAGATGCACAACCCATATCTCTTGCTAGCGTCATCGGGCCAACTCGAACAACACTGAACTTGTTAAACCCTCTTTGCCTTCTCCATCCTTCACTCCATCGCGCACCGGCACACCGTCCGCCGCCATATCCACTTGGATGCCCTTTCCTCCCCGATGCCCCTCCTTCAAGCTTAGCTTGACTCAACTTTGACCTCACTGTATCAGAGGTTGAGGCATTTCTGAATGCCACTCGGCATCATGATAACCACCGAAGGATGAACCAACCTTGGTCTTCTTCGAGTCTTCTCTTCTCCCTCTCTTCTTGTCTTCCTCCCTTCCTGCAATCTCAAGACAGAAATCTCAATCATCTGTTCTCTTCTTTCCCACATTTCGTCCATTTTTCGATTCTTTCGCTTTGGTCTCCTGCCCCACTTGGGGTCTGCTTCGGTCGCCTCACCTCGGGACGAACTTCAACGTTCGATTCCCTTTACTTCGAGTCCTTTTTTTCTTCTTCCCTTCCTTTTCTGAGTCCCTTTCCCTCGACTTCTTTCTCTTCCGAGTCTTCTTCCTTCGAAGCTCGTTTCCGCTTCTCCCGGCGTAGGATTACTGACTCCCACGGTATCCTATTGCCATTCCGGTCATCGCCGACTGATCGTGGTCTTTGGGAGTTTCGCATTCCCTCACGGGCGCTACCGTTTTCAGTTTCGGGTGTAAGGATTCTCCGCCTTTTACTTCTGCTTCAAGTTTAGTATGGTGCATAAGAATAACGAGCGATAGATTGTTCGTCTGCCCTGGGGTAAATAGAAAGGATCGGTCAGAGGATTGCAGTTGTTTGTGAGTGTTATCTATCCTCGTCTTTCCTTGCTCTGAGTTTCATGTAGTGCATAAAGCTAACGAGTGATAGGTTCTTGGTTCTGTTTGAAGCCGACCGGGAAACGCAATTGGATTGCTCTCTTTCTTCAAGAGCTTCTTTTTCGGGTAATTATGCATGTTCCCTGATTTAACTAGATTGTTTTACTGACGATTGATTTTTGTGATCAATAGTCTTTTGTCCATTTCGCAGGACATCGAAGTCCACCCGGACGTGAGCACGCTCGCTCACTCGGAACGTGCATGGTGGGCAGCAGACGAGGCTTGGCCTGTCTTGGGGGATGGAGTGGATTGGATTTGCTGGTCCTCTTGGTGGTTTACAGCGGCTGGTAAGTGCTTGAACATATTTCCTTTATCTTAGGATTGTTCATCAGGGCATGGGCTAACCAGCCTTGGACGAGAAAGAGCTAAAGATTGGAATGGTCTGAGGGATGGTTGTTGATTTGATCGTTGGTTTTCAGTTGGTGGAATACTTTGGTTGGTGAGTAATTACTTTGACACATTTTTATTATCTCGTCGGAGACATTTACTAATTGATCATATACAGAACCTCGCCTCCTCCTACCCCCTTAATGGGCACATCCTCTCTTTTGAGAGCGGGGAGTGCTGTGTTTGTGGCTTCCACACCCGTGAAGCCGGACGGTTTGGTCTTTCTTGAGGGATGCGCCGGATTGGACTTTTCACGTGTTGTCAGTGGACTAAAACCATGGGTAAGCACTCGGTCAAAGTTCTATCACCCTTTTGCGACACGACACTAACTTATAATGAGATGTAACGATGGTATCCCAGACATGGGGCATCTTCGCATCTTGTCCAGATCTGCGGTCTGTGTCTGCTGCTGTAAGAGCAGCTACAGACTGATCCTCATTTCAATGTAAGTTCTTGTTAATTCCAGCTCGTATTTAACAGTTGAAGCAAATACTGATATGTGGTTTAGTAAAATGATGGATATTTCGCCGGAGAGCTGCGCGTTTGCTTTTTTTTTTTATGTCCCTTGGCACTTTACGGCAACTTCCCCTGATCCATCTTCACCTGGTAAGCTCCTTCATTTCTCTTTATTGATGAATACACGGCACAGTGACTAACGTATTATTCTAGTGTCTCGTTGGTCTTCTCTTCCTTTGCGATGACTTGGGACTTCCTTTCGGTCGCTTGCCTTTGTGGGAAACACACCTGAAAGACGCCGAAAACTTCCCTCGTTTCGGTGAAGACGAATATTCTCCGTGCCGTTGAGGTGTTCCGTTTTTTCTTTGTCGGATGATCGAGGCCTCCGCCACCTGATTTTGTGTTCTTTGTTTTCGGCGGCGCGAAATCGAATTTTCTTGCGTTTGTTGAATCCTTTTTGCTCGGTCCACAGTGTGACTCCCATTTCTTGTCGTGGTTGGGTGCAGGGCGCGCCTTAAGTCCAGTTGCCTCGCTTTGCGGAAGATGACGTGATTTCGTCTCTTTCACGTCTTCTTTGCGCCTCATTTGCTTCATCGTTCTCGATGATGCAAAACTTCGATAAAATGACGCCGTGCTCCCGGTTTTATCTCCGACGGAGTTTTTAACGCAACATTTGCGCTTCGCTTCGACCTCTCCTTCGTCTCGATCAGTCTACGCCATGATTTTCCGTGTTTTTTTTTTGATCCAACTTTGGACTAAAAATGACGGTTGAGATCTACGCCATCAACGAAGCCTACACACTGGCCAATTCGAGGAGGAATACAAAATCTTTGGCCTTGCTTCGTTTCGAGAAGTTTGCGCTCCGGAAACTCGACTACAGTTCGACCGTTGGTCTTTTCTTTGATGAAAGCGACGGTTACAACAACAATCGCTCTCGTTTGTTTCGCTTCTGGTCGCTTCGTTCAGTTGCGGTCCCGTAAGCACAGTAACTCCAACGGATATCCGACTTCCTACCGTCGCACCGTTGGTTTTCTCGATGAAATCGACGCCTACGACAACAGCTTCTCTCGTCTTTCCACTTCTGTTCGCTTTGATTCGCTTCGTTCAGTTGCGTTCCCAGAAGTACAGCAACTCCACCAGATTTCGTTCGTTTGCCCAAACGAATGAATTGATGCTAGGACAGCCCTTAAATCCTTTTTCTGTTCAACGACACGCGATTACTCCCATGTTTCGCGTTTCCTTCTCGCCGTTCTCGGGAACGACCTAGTTCCTGTAATCCAACTTCGGATTTGAGTGTCTCACTGTCTCCTCGAAACTCTTGGCCGTGCTCCTGTAGGCTCGAATAGTAGGACAGGTTGGAATTTTCCGTGGTTATATCTCACAGGACACTGTACCATCCATGCGGTTCCGCTGTTTTTTTTCGACTTTACAATTAGGCGTTGCATGACGGTTGTTTTTTTGCGTTTGTCTCTCACTTCTGCAACCACCGTAACACGCCTGTCTTTTCCAACCACCAAATACGTTTTTTTTATTTTCGTCTGCTGGACCATGATCGGGATTGCTTGGACACCGGATGAGGAACCCTACAGTTCCTCATTCCTATGACATGTACGGCTTCGTTCGCGTCACAAGGTATCACCAATTGCATTCAGCACCAGTAAGCCATGAGACAATACTACGATCCCGCCCTTGACTGATCGTCCGTTCTGTTGTCTGCCCTTTCGATATTGAGCAGTCGATTCTTTCTGCACATCATAATCCGGGCTCATATCGACGGACTTACGGTTTCTTGTGTTCCGGACTATTACCTTTCAGCAGTCACATCTTCCTTTCCACCATCACATCCTCCGAATCTGAAGACTTGTTCTTCGTCAGTTGTTTGGTTTTAGTAGGAAAGACTTCGCTCATCATCTTGCTGCATTGGACTTTTCCGAATCCGACTTGCTTTTTTCCTTCTCTTCTTTCGGCCTTCTCCTATCCCATTCCGTTTGCCAACCATTACCAATGTAATGATGTATTTGCGTCTGAAGGAGGCAATCATGAAATGTCTGGAAGGTTGTGTTTGGATTCTTTGTGTGAGGTTTTGTCATGCAGGTTTAGATTGTGGCTTGTGTTGCGAACTCTACTCATGTACTTATTGTTTCTTTGTTTGAAGGGTCCTTGTTTGAAATATACATAACGTTCTCACTTAAGATCTTTCCTCGTATCGTAACAGATCTGCTGTATCACCTTCATAAACCCAAAGAACCATAACTTCTGTAATCGACCGTCCAGCATATCTGAGTCAAAATCTAACTTGGAGCCGATCCGGCTCATGGAAAGTCTGCTCACAGAACCACAGGCATCACCGTCTCCGCTAAGCACCCACCATGACGCTCTCTCCGTCAACCCACCACACCCTCAAGTAAGTATTTTAACATTCCCTTTCATCGCTTGGAATTATGGTTCAACGGTAGGATACGGCCATTGGGCATACCCTGGGGCCGTGATGTGGGTTCGAATCCTACTAAATCCCAATTTTTGTCATTTTGCACCATATATACAAGCTGGTGAACCTAGATGCAGACTCTGATTCCCGTGGCAATTTCTTTACGAGTGCGATCGTTAACTTTGTCGTGAATAAATGACACCCCATGACAAAGTTTTGAAATACTTAATTCATGTTCTGCCTCGAGTATCCCGCGCTCGACACATTTTACAGTCGTACGGGTAACATTCCCTTTTCTCGCGAGAACATCGACTAACTTCTAAGAGACTCACTGGATGTGCTTGGCGTCGACATGTGTTAGCGGTAATGGTTATCGTAATGTTGTGGCGACGGCGTTGTGACCCGGAATGTATCGCAACAACTAATGAAGACCGCACGCTTCCTTGCCAGGAGACAACGCAACTCCAAGATCCATCCAGGCCACAGCGGTGCACGAAAAGGATAAGCTACTGAAATCATGCTATTTCCGTTCGCTGATGCTCATTAGAAGGCAACACACAGCTATCGCCAGAAACATCTGTGCAGAAATCTATCACCAGCATTTGTCCATCTGTTCAACCCCTGGGGGAAGCTCAACCCTTCAACAGCCCAGAGAAACACAGGAGAACTGGCAAGAGAACAAATAGCCAAGCTCGAGCTCATGTTACGGCTGAGTCCCCCTCCACCTCCATCTTCGTGCATGCCTCAGCACCTCACTGTCGCAAATCTAGCGTCCGAAATCTCGAAGCTCCATCCCCTCATTCCACATTCTCCGACAAACTCTCACAAATACACAAATCATGACCTCCCGCGACACCACTATCCCCAAAATCACTCTCTCGGGTATGTCACCGAGCTCTTCACCAGCTCAACCAGTCATTAAAAATGAACCCGAAACCTCCTCACCAGTTGCGGATGTATCAAAACCAACCCCTCCGCAGCAAACTCTCAAGACCGATCGGCTTCCACCATCCAGATCTTTACCACCACCAGCACGACCAGCAGCAGCAACAGAAGTAGAAGCAGCAGCGAATCAAAGACTATCAATCCCCCCAGCAGTAAGAGAGAAAAGGGTAACCGGAAAACCAACGCCAACACCACCATTTTTGTCCCATAAGATCTATCTCCTACTTAAGGTTCAGGAAGTTGATTCGAAACGGATGTCACGGTTTGATCATGGACTTGTTCCTAGGTGGACAGTTAATAGTTTCGATGTACGTTTACCTGCTTCTCCCTAATTTCCCAGTTCTCCAATTCAGTCCTTTCGATTCCAGCTGTTCCGATCATTCACTAACCCAACCAAACAACCCCAACAGGCACTTTGGCTAACCGTCTGTCAATTATATCCCCTATTCTCAGTCTCCATAGAAAAGCCCCGTTTAAGAGTTGTGGATCATAAGCCGGACACAGTGACATTCAAAAGCTTTGCATGGTTTACGGAGGAGGAATGGGATGAGGTTATTAATGGGGAGGCGTTTAATACTGTTTTTGTTTTGCTTTGTAAAAAGAGGCAGCCGAAGTCGGCGGGGGTTATGGTGGCTTTTTCGACGAGGTAGATGGAGGTAGTCAAAGGTAGACGAAAGTACGGATATCTATTGGTCAGGATGTGTTTACTTTACTTGAGCTACTACATACTTATAGGATTGAATTCACAATTGTAGTCGACACCAGTAACGATTTCGCGATTGAGAAAGGCTTTTCAGACTCCAGCTTTACACCAAACCAAAATTACGCCGATTGCGACTTTGTCAATTTAAAGATGGTACAGATACATCACACAACACCCTAGTTGATCATCAGATTCAAGGACCCACTAAATTCCGTCAATTCTAAGTCAAACCAAATTTTCCCAACCTAAACGCCAAAAGAAAAATCCAAAACATAAACCAGGGATATCAGACTTTTAACGAGAGGATTTCTCATCGCCCTCATGGACAGGCTTGTCCTGCCCGTCCTCCTCCTCTTCATCATCCTCCTCCTCACTATCCTCCTCTTCATCATCACTACCCTCCAACTCAAGTTCCTCCTCTCCCTTAGCGGCAACCTCAGCGAGGTACTTCTCCAACTCCTTCGCCTGCTTCTTGCTTATTCCACTGGCCTCAGCGAGGGCATCAAGAGTTCCAACTCTCTCAACATCCTCCCAGAAAGGACCCTCATCATCGGCAGTGTATCTGTACTTCTTGTGGAAGAAAGTCTTGATACATTCAACATCGCGCTCGAACTGGTCCTTGGCATTGGGGTGATTAATCGAGATCATCTGAGGGAAATCGATGACCACGGGCTCCTGAGTCTCCTTGCGAACGAGAATGTTGAACTCGTTGAAATCTCCGTGGATAAGTCCTTGGGAAGCGAACTTAAGGATGAGGTCCATGAGCTTCTTGTACAACGGAGCCGGGTCGGTAACGTCGGCGGTGCGGAGGGGGAATTCGTCGATCATCTCCATGACGATACAGTGGCGAGCCTGGTCAATAGGACGGGGGACGGGGAAGTCATTGTCGTAAAGAATCTGTTATGATTAGCTTTCGTTTTAATCGGGCTAAGTTTTAAAATCCACGACTTACCTTCATAAAAGAGTATTCTCTTTCAGCAGCAAGACGGGACATGTACATCCAACTTGCAGAGTTACGTTTCCGGAGGTAATCACGCTGGTTCTTGACGGCACGGAAGGAGATACGTCCAAGACGGTGAATCTTGAGGACACGCTGGGTTCCGGAGTCGTCCGCGATAACGAAAATGTCGGATTCTTTTCCGATTCCGATTTGGTTACCGACGGAGTAGGCGCTCTTGCGCTTGATGAAGGCGTGGAGAGCGAGGTAGTCGAGACCTCCGTAGGTGAGACGGTATCCATCGTCTGTAGCTTGTTAGCTCCGGTACTGCTGAAGCTGGCAGGAGCGGGAGTGGGCGGGAAGTAGCGGCGCATAGAGGACTTACACTTAGCATTCTTCACTTTCGCAATCAAGTCGTTCTTCGCCAAAGTACTGATAGCACGGTTGACTCCACTGGCACCGCGAAGTCCGGAGATCTGAATAATGAGGGGCGTCGGCACAACCTCGTGGTTCTTGGAGCCTTGCTCAACGGCGGCAAGGACGCGCCAGTCATCGTGGGTGAGATAACGGAGGGCGTGAGTATTGAGCTTCATTGTCGTGTTGCTGTAGTTGTGGTGACGTTAAACTAAAGAGCTGCTGCGAAATTTTGTGGAACTTTGCTTGCAGTTGCGCTAGTATTACCCCGCGCTAAGATCTGTGCGCTAGGGTACGAGTTAATCCCTGCGGACTGCGAATTATCTAGACCAGATCTGGCTGATGTGACTAGAGTAGGCTGATTATCTGATAAGCGATCAAATACCGAATGATCATTTATGAATACAACTCCATGCCTTTTTAATCCATGGTCTGATCAGAATAACATCGCAAGTGCTTCCTATTATCGTGATTATGACTATCATTGATGCATCGCGCTCCCGAACCCTTCAAACTTGGCCTTCAAGATATCCCGCCAAGCCCCCGTCGTCTTCGGGTTCCGTCCGTCCCGTCGGATCCAACCCGAGCTGAAGTCTTGGCACCCTATCAACCACGTTTCACAACCGACCCGACATCCAGGCTTCCTCACCACTCAACACTCGTTACTTTGTCAACCTCAACAATGGACGCGATTACAGCTTACCTCCCCCAGGCTGAGGGTTACCTCCCCAAGTGGCTCTTGTTTGTGAGTTACTCCGCGTCAATTGAGCTCACGATGCTCCCGACCAGCGTCGGTGAAGACTGTGTCCAATCGCGACTTCGAGAGTTGGATGAGCTTGTCAACAGCTACCGAAGTGGTTGAAGCTGTTGATAATAACCTCTAAATACCCCCGATGGATTCAGATTTGCCAGTTTTACTCTGTCTGGCGAGGAATAGGGGACGAACGAAGTTGAGCAAAGCTCGAAGCTTGGGAGACAGCCACGCGAAAAACTCAATTGCTAACTCTTATATTTCTCCTATCCAGGTTTCCGCAGTCGCCATGTTCAACTCCATCCAGAACTACACTACCATCGCCTTGACCCAGCGCGTCTACTCTAAGCGTCCTCAGGATGTCAACACTCTCTCCTCCCGTACCTTCGGAACCTGGACTTTCCTTTCTGCTATCGTTAGATGCTACGCCGCGTACAACATTGCCAACCAGGGTGTTTACGATATTTGCATTTGGTCTTATTTAATTGCTGGAGCTCACTTTGTGTCTGAGTGGTTGATTTTCGGAACTGCCAGGTAGGATTAATATACCCGCTCTTGAGGACTGAGGATGGTTGTGGAGTGGCAGAATAGAGGCAGGAGAACAAGCGAATTGGGCCTGTGGGGCTGGGGATTGAGGGATAGGAATGGCAATTGAGTTTGAAGAATTGAGCTAACTTGGAATCCCTTAGCCTCGGTGCCGGATTGACTGGACCCCTCGTTGTCAGCAGCAGCTCTCTCATCTGGATGCTTACCCAGCGCGAGTTCTACACCGGAGCTTAAATGCGTCCCAGAACCGTAGCTATTGTAGGACGTAATGGATACTAGCGTACCCAGCGGATTGAAGGATTCAACAGCATTTGTTGTTCGGGATTTTTAATTTATGGACATATCGAATAATTGTATCAACTTTTAGAAATACATTTTGGATACCCCTACACGATACCAAAATTCTTTATCACTTACAACGTACGATGTATATGCCAATAACTCGGTTACTGCTGTCTTGAGGAGATTTTGATGTCAATGCAACAACACAATCTGATTACACTCCGTGCATCTCTTATAAGCACAAGATCAAAATTCTGTTGACACTCAGAAACGCTATTAACCGTAAAAATACTACCGCAGTGTTCCAACTACAAAGCTTCCCATCGTAAAGATACCAAGGTCACGTTCAATGTGAACTACCTTGTGTGTCATGCCTAGGTACTGCAGCCATCTGGGAAAATATCCCGAATACCAATCACAATCTGGTGTTCCTCATAAAGGTGTTCTGTAGCCCTCGTAAGCCCAGTAACTAAAGTAACCACATCTTGATCCTTCGGTTTCCTTTTTAT